CCCTTTATCATCACCAGAGCACCTTTCAGGACTTTCACCCACTCACCTTCACCATGATATTTTAAACCATTCTTGGCTAAGGTGCCAAGAGAAATAAAATTCTTTTTGAGTTTAGGAACATACCAACAGTCAAATTTCCTGACAGTACCATCATGCAATTTTATCTGCCCTATCCCGCTCCTCTTTATGGCTAGAACCCTATCATCACCTAACTTCACCGTTCTATTCCACTCCTTAAAAGAAGTGAGTAGATCACGAGAAAGGTCATATAGTGAGAATCACTGGTATCCATAATCCAGGAATTAGCAGTACTAGTACTACACGCTGTCAGAACTTCACCAAAGTCCCTATCATCAGAATTGTCTTGTACCACAGCAGCACTGCTGCCACTGTTACTAGAATCAACTTTCGTATTTCCCTTCTTCTGTGGACAATTCTTTTTGACGTGCCCCTTCTCATTACAAAGATAACACTTAACTTTGCTAGAGGATTTTGATTTTGAACGCGACCTCCTATTCCCATTACCTCTCTCATGTGGTCTTCCCCTACCTGCAAACAGACCTGAACCAGAACCCTCTTCCAGAGAAACCTTTCTTTTTAATTCTTTGGACATAAGGGCATTTTTCACATCATTAACAGAAATTGTAGTTCTACCATATAGCATAGTATTTACAAAATTCTCATATGAACCAGATAGTGAACACAGTAAAATTAGGGTTTGATCTTCATCATCTACTTTAACCTCAACCCCTTGAAGATCAAGAATGATACGGTTAAAGGTATCAAGATAATCCTTTACCTGAGTACTTTCGGACATCCGGAGGGTGTAAAGACGTTGCTTCTGATATAGCTTGTTCGTAAGAGTGTTGCTTTGGTACTTCTCACACAGTTTATTCCATAGCCCAAAAGCTATTGTCTGATCTACAACCTCCCGTAACTCCTCATCAGTAACTGACAACAATATTGCGGAATGAGCCCTTGCTAAAATCTCCTTATTCACTTTCGTGTCTTTAGGAAACATGTCTTCTCCCTCCAACACAGCTACACATTCTTGTTGAATCAGAAGTGCCCTCATCTTGACCTTCCAGAGCGTGAAGTTATTCGACCCATTAAATTTTCCAAATCAAACTTATACGATGACATCTTCAATCAATCAGATATGGCTTTGATACTACTTGTTATGCTAAAACGAAAAAGAAAGCAAATAAAGAACACAGGTTTTACGTGGTTCGGTGACAGTGTGTCAACCTACGTCCACGGGCAGGAACGAGAGATATTTTATTATACTGATTTAGAGAGTTACAATCATGTCATACGACTAAAAACTATATCTATCTATTTATAAGCACTCAAAACACCCAAAACTTTAAGTCTATTTGTTATTAATTAGGATAAGCCCAAAAGGAACCCTGCCAATTGAAACAGCCCTTTCGTTTTGGTTTCGGATTAGGTAGATAGCTAAATTCAAATCACGTTTCAACAATAACATATAATATACTATTAATTAAAACTATGTAGTACTCCCTCTGTCTCATGAAAATTGTCGACATTATGACACGGGATTCTAGAAGAAATATAATTAGTTAATAATTAATAAGTGTATTAGTACAAATAATTATTATATAATATAAATAATTATAAATTAAGATAACTAAATAGTTCAACTAAAATTAAAAAAATTATAAATTATAAAATTTCAAATGTAATTAAAGTGTTTAATCATTTTATAAAAAAATAAATAAATAAATAAATTATATAAAATGAACGAAAATAAAAAAAAATAAAAATTTTATAGGCACACAGGAAGTATTATTTAGTTATTTTATATATGCTTACTGAACAAATCAGTGCGAATAAATTTATACAACATATAATATCATTATTTTTCAATGCATAACAAATCAAACTTATTTACTTTAAAGCCAAATGCAAATGATTTACATGTCTAAAATAAACACATAGAATAACTATTGATTAAAAAAAATTAAATAGATGATGCTAATGTATTACTCCCTTCCTGCTATCTTATTTGCTCATTATTTTTGTTTATATTTGTTCTACCTTATTCGTCATTTTTATTTTATAAAAAATAATTATATATTTTAATTATATTTTAAAATTTATAATCAATAATATTTTAATTTTAATTTAATTAATTAATTAATTTTAAAATTTTAATCTATAATTACTTTAACTAAAATAATTTTTAATTATATTATACCTAAATTATATTTTATAAAAGAATTGAACATAAAAAGCGGGACGAATTAAATATTATTTAAAAAATTAAAGCATCTATTCAAGTTCGAAGATGACCATCTACACAAGAGGCAATTGTTTTTATTTTTGGATGAAAATAATATTCTACACGAATAAATTAAGTGGTAATGCATTTATAATTATTAAAAACTAATAAATAATAAAAATAATGTATCATGAATTTTTTACGTGGGATTGAGATTTTAGAGTAGAATTTATATGCGATGAGATTTATTATATTTAGGATTTGAAATCCTATCATACGTTTTGATTGATAAAATTATCTAGATTTATATTTCTCATATATTGCTTATTTCTTATATGAGTAGAAGGGTTTAGATTTTTTATATTCTAAATAACATAATTGATTTTATTTATTTTGATAAATTAAACTTCTAACTTATAATTAATATAAATTGAAAATGTATCAATAATTTTATAAGAATGACAATAGATTTGCGTAAACTCGAGACCCGATCCAGACCTAACCTATTTGTTTGAAGTTGAGTCTAATTATTTGTATATTGGGTCCGGGTCATGTTCGGGGTATTTTAATCGGGTCTGAATCGAGTCTAGGGTCTAGAGGCGGACCCTACTCGCACCCGGATTCGATTTATAATATATCAACTATACAAATAAAAAAATAATTTGTAACAATATAATTATATTAAAAATATTTGTGAAGTTTAATTTATTCATTATTTTATTATAATGACATATATAAGTTTTAATATATATCGGGTCACGTACATGTGCAATTTTAAATTAAAATTTAACAATTGTAAAAAAAATTAGATTTGTTGGATCCATCGGGTCCGGTATAATTGGATCCAATTTGAGTCTCGGGTCTAACAATATGTATTCGGACAGATCTCAATTCCAGTTAAACCCAACTCATTGTCATCATGATAATTTTATAATTCAAATAAAATTTAAAATGAATAATAATTTAAAACAATAAGTTTATTAATTTATTTAAAAAGTATTGTATCATAAAAAAATAATATAAATTTAATTTAATTTATAATTCAAATAATAATTAATTTTAAAATTATTTAGTTTTTATTTTATATAAATATATTTATAATATATAATATTATTTTTTATATAAGATGATATAAAAGTAAAATTTAAAATTTCATGGAATATGATTTAAAAGTAATAGGGATACTCATTACTAAAAAAATATACCCCTTTTTTATAAATTCCAATATTTAAATTTCATTATTTATTTTTTTTAGTAAAACATGAATTTTATGGGATTTTGAAATTCAAATCCTATGAATTCCTATGAAATTTTTGAACCAAACAACCTTTACAAAGTAGATTGAGAAATATAATGAATGCAGATGAACGCTTCTCCCATAAGATATTCCTTCGTCGCTTCGAGGCCTCCTTCGAGCGGACGCCGATAGCCTTCCGTCCTTCCGTTTCAGGTACTAGCCTCTCCCTGCTCTTTGATTCTAGACTTGATTGTTGTTACTTAGACTTGATCACTTAGTATTTGATTTATGCCTTAGTCCTGCTTTAGGTAGATACTTACTATTAGCTGGTCTTGTTTGTTTGCTTTACTGAGACTGTATAGCTTGTATCTAGAACTACGTATGACTTGATCCCGTTTGGGTACCTAGGTAACCCACCTGGGCGCAGCCACTGCTATATAGTTTTTTTTTTTTAAAAAAAATATATATATAATTTATCCTTTGTTTATTTAATTTATACATAAATAGTGTTCTTCCGTAATTCTCAAGAAAAAAATATATATTTTTTTAAAAAAAATTAATATATTGGGAAAAATTTATTTTTCGTCAAGAAAAATATATATATAAATTTTTAAAAAAAATTTAATATATTGGAAAAAAATTATTTTTGGTCTTAACATAACCAAAATTCATCAATTTTAGTCCCAATATAAAAACTTATCAATTTTGGTCATAATATAACTAAAACTCATTATTTTTTGTCCCAATATAAATTTTTGTATCAATTTTAGTTTTTTTTTTTTATCAATTTTAGTCCCAATATAAATAACCAAAACTCATTATTTTTTGTCTTAATATAATCAAATCTTTTTTTTGTTCCAATATAATCAAATCTTTTTTTTTTTGTCTCACACCATCAACAAACCAACGGAAAATGCTGACGTGAAAAGAAATCAAATCTTATATTTATATTTGAAGAAATTGCACAATCTTTCAGTATTTTCCGTCAGTTTGTTGACGGTGAGACCAAAAAAGATAAGATTTGATTATATTTGGACTAAAAATGATGAGTTTTGGTTATATTGGGACTAAAATTGATAAAATTTTTATATTGAGATAAAACATGATGAGTTTTGGTTATATTGAGACCAAAAATGATAAGTTTTGGTATATTAGAACAAAAAATAATGCTTTTTGATTATATTGGACCAAAATTGATAAAAATTTTATATTGGGACCAAAATTAATAAATTTTTATTATATTGGAATAAAAATGATTTTTTTCTCTAATAAATTACATATATTTATTATTTTAATATTATTTATATAATTTTATATACTTTGTATAAAAATATATTTTTTTTTCAAAAATTTCGCTACCCAAAAACAGAACTCAGGCCTAAATTCAACCATTGTTGGGCTTCAAGAATTGAATCAGCAAACGTGGGCTTCTCCGATTCCGACCCAAATCCAAGTCCCAAATGAATCGATACATCTCTCGTACCTGCTGATTGTCTCGAAATCCGAGCGACCGATTATTATTACCATTAATCAATTTTCGCTTTTGCAAGACTAGATTTGGCAGCAATAATTCGATCTGCAATTCGTCCGCCTCGACCAGAGAGTTCCCTCGCCATTGCTTCTTGTGCGTTCAATTTCCCTCGCCATTAATTCCATTCTGCAGCACTGTTAATGCTCCTCCTCGTTCGTTTAATTTCACTTCAAGAAGTGAAATTGGCGATTGGTACGTCTGATTCCAGTGATTATCAATTCTAAAAAAGCGTTAGTCGAGAGATGAGTTAAGAGTGATTGATTGATTGAGCGATGGGGCGCGGGATCTCTGTGTTGATTCAACCCAGGAGTCTGCTGATTTTCGTCGCGGTTTTAGCTCTGATATTTTTCGCTTCTTCATTCTCTCGACAGGTCAATTTTTAATAAATTTTTCAGTGCTTCTGCTTATTTGATGTGTTCTTATATTGTTGGATTTTTACGGCATTTGTTATGAAATGTATGTTTGGATCTGCTCCTGTTGCCGATTTCTGCTCTTGGTTGAGGTTTTCTTTTTTGATCGTATGAATTTCTGTCCCTTTGTTTAACTATTCTTGTTGATAATTGATCGAATTTCATTAGTTTGAAAAGTGTTCCAAGTGTGTTGTTCAACTTTTATTATCGATTCCAAAAATATTACCCATAAAAACACCATATATAATTTGCAGTATATACACATAACAATTGCAATAAAAGTCAGTATCATCTCTATAATACTTCCACAATTACTTATGCCTTGCAATAAAAATACCTAAACGCTAAACGAACACACTGTCTGCCCACGAATGCTGTCGAGCACGAAACTAATCCCACCAATTAATTTTAGTATAGATAATGAGTGTGTATATATATATATATATATATTTTTATTGTTCTTTGAATGATAGAATTTAATGAATAATTGATGTTTGATCATGATGTCGGATTTTGATTTCATATTTTAAATGAAAATTAGGTGTCGGATGTGATTTTTTTAGAAAGAGAAATTTGTATGAGTAGTTCAAAAACAAAATTGAAATATAAGTTCACAACATGTGTTGAATTGAGAATTTATTTGTTCTAATGTAAACTGTCCAACTCAGTTTAAAGAAATTCTTTATTGTGAATATGTTTTTTGATTGGCCCTTTTATGCAAACTCGGCCTTCGATACTTGTCGGGTAGCATATAAATCAAATTGCACGATTGGCAAAATTTTAATTTTTTTAGCAATAATAAACATAGCATTGAAGAAGTATCTGGAAGCTTTTGCAAGTCGAGGCTATGCATATAAATTGTGTTGTAGAATTGCTCGTTGATGTGTGAAAATAAAGCTTTTTTTTTTTTTTTTTTCCTGTATAAGCACTCTTTTTTTTATCTTAATTATTATGATGCTGTCATGGTCGATTGTGTTCTTCTTGAGTTGTGATGGTTTTGGATTTCTTCCTTGTTTCCACTCTCATAGTCTCACTCGAACGTTTCATTTCCAGGAGGTAGAGAATGCAGAAGAAGTTCATGAAATCACCCATAGAGTATTTTTGGATGTTGACTTAGATAAACAACGATTAGGTAGGTATTAGTGTTTCTCTTCTTTGATTGTTAGATTATTTGAATTTTCTTTGAATGTTTATTAATGTTGCATCACCTCTTGATAGACAAAATCATGATAATTTTTTTTTGTAATTTCCATCAATGGCAGAAAAAGTTATAAAGGTTTTATTTTGGTGTTGATGTATCTTTCACATGTCTTAAGTATAGATTTCACGTTTATAAATTTTATCCATCTTAAAATCAATGACGATTTTCTTGTCAATTTAATTTCTATGACAAATGTACATAAGTCACTTTTGAATCTATGTCAAAAGAGCAAAATCTTTCTTTTCTTTTGTCATTTTGGCTCTCATGCCTTTCATTCAAAATAGTAATTTTAATCCTAAATGTTCTCAGGGAGAATCACAATTGGATTATATGGTCAAGTGGTGCCGAAGACTGTTGGTAATCTCTTCGATTGCAATTAAATTTCCACATGTTAAGCTGATCGATATTCTATTGTTGAGCATGACAAATTTTCTTACTGATTTGACCTCCTTTTGTTTTGCAGAGAATTTTAGGGCTTTGTGCACAGGTAATGTGAAGACTATATGTATCCAAGTTTGTTAATTCATCATTTTTATATTCTTATCGGTATGAGGCTGATCAGTTTCTTTTTCTCTTAATACTCGCTGATATTCATTAATTTTCTGGGATCAGGTGAGATGGGTAAAGCTGCTAATGGAGTAGTTCTTCACTATAAAGGAACTCCATTTCATCGTATTATACCTGGATTCATGATACAAGGAGGAGATATCGTTTCTGGAAATGGGAAAGGAAATCAATCTATATACAGCGGTACCTTCCGTGATGAGAATTTCAAGTTGAAGCATACACATGCTGGTCTGCAATTATACTTTAGCATTTTCGTTCTCTCCACCACAGGCTCACATACACAAGCACCTGAAGAGATTGCATTTCACCACAGACTGCTTACTTTTGTTGATCTGATTCTTGCAGGGACAGTGTCTATGGTTAATTCAGGCCCCGATTCCAATGGTTCCCAGTTTTTTATCACAACAGTGAAGGCGTACTGGTAAGCTTCACTGTATATAAATGCTTGAAATTCATGGAACTATTTCAGAAAGTACGTAGCAGCTTGTTCAAGCAGTTTTATCTTTAAACATGCGGGGCGGCGTTTTGTTTTTCTACATTCTTAAAAATAAACAAAAATAATAGTAAAACCGTAGTTAATGAGTTGCACTTTGGAATTGGATAATATGTTAGTGTGTTTCTTTTCAGCCTGGATTGGATTTGTAGGTTCAGGTTTTTTATTTAAATAATATTTGATGTGATGTTTTAAGAGAGGAAAAAATAGTGTGTTTGTTTGGAGGTTTGAGTTTTGAATTTGTGTTCTGTATGTAAAATTTTGAATTGAAATAGCTATTTGATGTGCGATGTTGTGCATGTAAAAATAATTTTTTTTAGTATGATAAAAAGTTATATTTTAGAGGGAAATAATTTGTTGAATAGTAGAAAGCCTCAAAAAACCTTCAAACAAACAACTATTTTTATTTTTTTTTCCCCAAGAAACATTTAAGTTCAAATAGTAAAAAATTGAATAGAACCTTAAAAGAAACACACCATGATATCTTATTATATGAAGCCTTCAAATCTTTGAATCTCGACAGGTTGGATGGTGAGCATGTTGTTTTTGGCAAAGTGATTGATGGAATGGACACGGTGTATGCAATCGAGGGCAGTGCAGGAACCTACAGTGGGAAGCCTAGGAAGAAGGTGATTGTCTCTGATTCTGGGGAAATACCCAAAAGCAAGTGGGACGAGGACAGCCGACTTCCAGTCACACAACGATAAGAAAAGATTCAAAAAAAAGTACCGAAAAGTTCAACTTACTCTTTGGTATAATCTGTTGTATGTCTCTGTGCCAAAAATTCTATACAGTTGATAAACGATATATATATATATATAGCTCAGCTTTTGCTTCTTGGGAACACTTTAATGTATGTTCTTTTGATTACTTTTTCGGAAACTGATTTATATTTGTTATTGTAGAAAAGAAGGGTTGAGTAAATTAATGAATAGCCGGATTTTGGTTTCTCTGATTTGTTTATAATTGAGCTACTTCATGATAAAATGGCGTAATCTGATTCGTTTGAGATTTGTCTTTCTACATTCTGCCTTAGAAATTGATTTTCATGAAGAATGTCCTCATCCATTAGGAAAGTTTCGAAGTCTTGAAAGTATCCTGTCTGACTGTGCTTCTCAAATAAGATTTTAACAACAGATTCGATAAAAAGGTTATTTGTTTTTGCAGTAACTGTTGTGAAGTGGGGAAACATTTGTAGCTCTCTAAGCATGTTGATCCGAGTGCCCAATGTCATGTCTCCCTATGCCTTTCACATGCAACTTTTTAATCCGGATATAATTTAGAGGTTTCTAACTTGTAAGGAATTGCATTGTAAACATTACTGTTTGTGTAGAATCATATATGTTTAACGCCCAATTTACTTGTGCATTTGTAGAATTATTGCTTCCTGTATTGGTGTTATTACACACGCTTCGGATTGCTCTAACTTGCTTAGGATAATTTCTAGAACCCTAAGCACGCACAAAACCTTGACTCTTGCAACATTGGATGTAGTCTTAGTCATTACTGAGACATCGTAATCATCGTGGACCTCGACAAGTAATTTGATCGTATGATTAGTCGTGCTGAAATTGAGATACTCACCCTGATATGTGGAAGCCATTGCTTCCTCTGTTTTCATGGACATGATTTAGCGAAAATTGTGTGAATCATACTTCTTTAGGGACAATTCTCAGGCGAGGAGTGAGAGATTGTCCGCAAACTTCCATTAAGGTAATGTTAAAATCCTTAGTTTGTTTGTTTGTTTGTTTGTTTGCTCACTAACATAAAGGGGGTTGTGGTACAGCCTCAATTTGAAGTACTTCCACCAGAAAGAAGCTCGGAATAAGCAGCCGGATGGATATCCCCGAAAAAAGCAGGTAAAAACAGCACACACACACCACACAGCAGATTGAGACACTAGGAACAAGTCATATGTTGTGACATTATTAGTCTACTTTGTGGTGGGATTAATCTTTTTGTCGGTTTGTGTCAAAGTATTAGGTTTTTATGTGATTGCTATGCGTATTTGTGTTGCCGTAGATTTAGAAAAGAGAAGCTTTGGATAGGCACGGCGCTTTTTTTCAATTATTTGTGCATCTTTATGAGGTTTTTCCTTTTTCTATGCGGGCTCGCTCGTTTGCTGCTTTATTGTTATTATGGCCTCGAATTCTTTTTCTTTCCTTTCAATGCAAAAGTCGTGATTCACCTGGCGAGAACAGGTCATTTGTGGGCTTGATGTGGAGGGACACCGGCACACGGTGTGTGTCCCCTCCTCGACTAATGGATGTTGTTAAAGTTTAGTGTTTGTAATATTTCTTGATTCTATGATGATAATATATATCTATATCTATATATATATATATATATACTTTATATAAAAGAGAAGGCGGTTAGGGTGTTGACTAGGATGTCCCGATTAGCCTTACTCAATATATGGTAATATATGTTAAATATGGCTGGAGTTAAAATGTGTTGTATGGATTATTACTATATGTTGTCGGTCCATATTATAAGCTTATGTTATGCTAACATATGTCATGAACTATGTTGTACATATTATCATCATATGTTGTCAGCATTTGTTATATAACATATACTTTTGTCGGTATTTGTGTTATATTAACATACATTGTTATTGTGTTAATATATATCTACATTCTTTGTTGGGGAGACAGTTTCATGGGAATTCGGGAGATTTGGGATTTGGACATCAAAGTTTAACAATAATAATAATAATAATGCATTGAGACTCTTTTTTGTTATTCCTTTGCTTCAAATTGAAGAATGTGAAATTCTATGTGATTTGATTTGGGAAATATTGAGGTGTTGGATCCAAGATTTGGGACCATTGTATCCTTCTTTGATGCATTTTATGCAGTGTTTGTTGGGAGTTTGGGGTTTGGGTTTTGGTTTCCAAGAGTAAAGTTTTTAATTTGAATGGGTTTTAGATGTAATATAAAATGTGTTGTTTTAAATATAAAATTAATTTTTAAAATAATATAAAAATATAAAAAAAAAAAAAAAAAAAGTCTTTTATTTGATTTATTTGGAATTAGTAAATAGGTACATTTTTTTTTTTAAAAAAAAAAACTACTATCAAACACGCCATAAGATTCAACTATTAAGGGTTTGTTTTGGGTTTTGATTTGAAGAGAATTTTTTTTTTTTTTATTTTATGTGAAGTATAAAAAATTGTATAAATATAAAAATAATAAATGTATATAATATAGTAATTTTTTTGAGAAATATATTTAGGGTGTGTTTGTTTGGAGGATTTAATAAGATTTCTACTATTCATCCAATTTTTTTCCCCCAAAAACATCAAATCAAACACCTATTTTTCATTTTTTATATTATACTAAAAATCAATTTTACATTCAAAACATCACATCAACACCTATTTATATCACATCATACAACTATTCAAATTCAAAATTTTTACTATTCAAATCCCAACTCAAAATCCAAACCCCCAAACAAACACACCCTGTGTTTGTTTGGAGGATTGAATTTTAAATACATTATTCATATTCTTTTTTCCTAAAAACATCAAAATTCAAAATATCACATCACTATCAAAATTCAAAATATCATATCAATATCTATTTATATAAATACAAGGTAAAGAACAAAATCCAAATAAAGGGTACGAACTCATGAGTCAATTTTCACACAATTTAATCAATTTTTTACGGAATATTATTGTTATTATTATTGGTCTATCATAGATAATTTTTATAAAATATTATATCAAAATCAGATTTAAACAAAAATTTAAATGAATATTTTATTTCAAAATAATTTCAAACCACGACCAAACAAACCTGAATCAATTTGTGTATATTCAACAAATTTTCATTGTAAATTTTATTTAGTAACATTTTTTATCTTATAATAAATTTTATAATATTTAGTTCAACATTTTTATTTTATTTTTTTTATGACGTTGGAATTTACAATCATTACTTTTCGAATGTGTTCTGGGTAAACATTTAGTCGAACCTAATCACATTGCAATATATTGACAAAACAAGTCACATTACAAATTATGATCTTACAGTCGCAAATCCACTCTCATTAAAAACTATATATTTTATAATATATGGTTCTAACTTTTTATTTTTATTTATATTCTATCGGCTATATATTTATAAGAACTTGCTTTCCACATTATTCAACCATTTAAAAGGACCATTTTTGTAATTTTATTTTCCAATAAATTGTTATCATCTTTTCAATATTATTTTATCAAAAAAATATTGAAGCTCATGTTAAAATCTTCCCTAAGAGCAGAAGCAATGGCTTGAGGATTGACGGTTTTTCGGCTCAGAGATGCTTAAAAATAAAAGTTTGATATGATATTTTTTAAAAAAATTAAAATGATAGAGATACTTATAATTTTTTATATTTATATTTTTTTTAAAAAAAAATTAATACATATTACTTCATACTAGTTCGATTGAATTGGACATGTATTTTAATAAATATAGTATTATATTAATTGTTGTGACATAAAATATAAATATTTTAGAGAATATATGACTGATTTGTTAATAAAGTGAGAAAATATTTGATAAATTAATATGTAGATAGTTATGGTATTTTTGTAAATAAGTATATTGTTAAATGATATTCCGTTAGTTTCATATATCACATTGCAATTTTTATTTTTATCCGTCCTATGTTTATGTCACTTTCATTTTCTTGGAAAATGATTACGTAGTTTAATCAAATTTTACATTTTCGAAGTTATATATTTTTAAATTTTAAGTATACTAGTTAGTTAACTTAATATTAATTTATAATTACTTTTATTATATTTTTATTAATATACTTCATCCGTCTCCATTGAAATATTATTATTTTCTATTTTCGTCCGTCTCAAAATAATACTACTGTTTCATAATTTAATAAGTGTACTATCTATTTAACATAATAAATACTCTTCCAACTTACACTATATTACACAAATATCATTACTTTTATATTACATAATACTAATAAGGATATTTTATTTATTTTACTACAATCCAATATAAAAAAATAAACATTTACCTTTTTAATTATTTACTATCACATCTATTTTAAATGATTGTGTCTACTATATGTAACATTATATATAGTATCGAGGGAGAAAGTATAAATTAAAAAGCGTGTAAGAAAGATATACAATAAATGAAATATATATATATATATTTTTGTGGGCAAATAAGAAATCAAACATAAAATTAATGGACAATACATAACAAAATTCTATAAAAGTTATTTATAATAATTATGTATAAATACCTATTATTTATTTATATTCAATCTATTCAATAAGTATTGGAATAATTTTTTATATATATTATTAAAAAAAATAAAAATATACACATATTAATATAATATATACATTATTCACTTATAAAAAGTCAATAATTCAATACAAAAAATTATTTTTTATATTACTAATACAGTTGTTCATACCACACACAAAAGATCAATTATCTAAAAATATTGAGTGAAAAGACTGATTATTCCTTCTGGTAACTATGTATCCATTTTTTTCTTAGATGTTGAACTTTAAATATTAATATTATATTCATAAAAATTAAAAGAAAAAAATAAAAATACTTTTATTAATATTCTATAGTACAAATGCAATAATATTTGTATAAAATATTATACAAATATAATGATATTTTTAATGTTAAATACGATGACGCACAAGACGAACAAATATCTTATTAACATATAGAGAAAATATAATTTTTTTAAAATAATATTTATATTAAATATATTTTAATACTGTAGTCTTTAAAATCCAACACCCTTCTATATTTTTTATTCATTTTTTATATATCCTCACCCATCTTTCAATAAATAATGTTGTGTTTTATATACGCTATTTATTTTATTATTTCAAATTACAATTAATAATATTCATTTCACATCATTTTTAATAAATATATATTATTATTTTTTAAAATATAAAATTAAAATATATTTAAATAAAAATTCAAATAATATTTTACTCATTTCGTCTCAATTTAAAGTATATTTTTTATCTTTTTGTCCATCCCGTTTCAAAAAATATATATCTTTTTATTTTCAAAAAAGTAATAATATACTCCCTCCGTCCCAAAAATATAGTTTAGTTGAGTTGGGCACGAGATTTAAGGAATATTGATATTATATTGGTAATTGGTAAAAAGTAAGAGTAAATTACTTTTTTGCCCATGTGAGTATATTATTGTAAAAAGTAGTAACAATTGTGTAGTAATAATGAAAAAATAAGGATAATTTTACGGTGATATTGTTCTTTATGAAAATGAGACTATTGTTTTGAGACGGACAAAAATGGTAAATAAGACTATTGTATTGGGACGAATGGAGTATTAATACTAAAATACCATTAACTTTTACTTAATTATAAACATACTATTATACATACAATTACTTTATAAATAAATTTAAATGAAAAAAATGTCAAATTTTTTTACACACTTCCACTAACTAATAAAATAATATTATTTTTTAATTTACTACCAAATTTCAAAAGACTCATTTGATTTGAAATTATGGGAGTATTTTGAATCAATTTCAAATTAGAATCAAACAAATTATTAAAATGATTTTTTTCTAATAATATAAAATATAATATTTGATTTAATTTTTTAAAAATAAAATTAATTTGATATATATATATATATAGAAAAGAAATATTAGTGCTATAAAATAGTATAAAAAAATTCCAAAAGAGTATAGGCAAACAAAGTAAATACAGCCTAATTACACCACTGCTAAATAACGACCGTACGATCAAAGCAGCTTTAAAATTGACGGTCTGGATGCATACAATTTAATCAATACCCAAGCGTGGCAACAGCTGTAATAACATTACAAATCCAGTGGCAATTTCACGAACCAAATCCTATATAAGTTTGGGCAAACAAAAATCAAATTTCAATCTCAAATCAAATCAGTTCTCGAATCGAATCGAAGCTCTCAACAATGGCGATGGCTTTCAAGATGGTAGGTGATGGATGTTATTACAAAAATCTTGGTTCAATTAATTGTTTGTAGATAGATATGAAATGAATTGAGGAATATGGTAGTGATGGTGTTCTTACAACGTGACAGGCGGTGACGGGAATGTGGGTGACGGAGGAGTGTAAGAACTCGTTCATGGAGATGAAGTGGAAGAAGGTCCACAGGTATATCGTTTTCAAAATCGACGAGGCGACGAGGAAGCTCACCGTCGACAAGGTCGGCGGCGCCGCCGCGAGCTACCACGACCTCGCCGCCGCGCTGCCGGAGGACGACTGTCGCTACGCGCTCTTCGATTTCGATTTCGTAACGGTCGACAATTGTAAGAAGAGTAAAATCTTCTTCATCGCCTGGTTCGTATCTTTTTACTGTTACATTCGTTCATTCAATCTTTTTATTTTTATTTTTTCATTTTTGTATTTTTAGGGTGTGTTTGTCTGGTAATAGATTTTAAATTTACTATTCATCTTTTTTTTTTTTTTCAAAAATATCAAATTAAATACTATTTTTTATTTTTTAATTATATTAAAAATCAATTTTACATTTAAAATATCATATCAACACCTATTTATATCACATCATACAACTATTCAAATTCAAAATTTTTACTATTCAAATTTTAACTCAAAATCCAAACCCCGAACAAAGACACCCTAAAAGTGTTGTTTATTATTCACTGTAGTTTCATTTTTATTCTTTAATATATTACTCTCTTCTCGTCCAAATTTATTCTCAGTATTAATTTTTTTTGTTATCTAAATTTATTTTATTTAATAAGAAAATATTATTTTTTTATTTTTTTATCAAAAAATTAATTTTTTTTATTTTTACCTATTTTTGTTAAAACTCAGTGGTCAAATAATCATACAATTGGATGATGGAAATAGTTAATTTCTATCTAAAAATGTTATATAAAAACAAACTTTATTATAAATATTTATGTAATATGTATTTAGATTGTATTTAATTTAATTTTCTTTTTGCTATTTCATAACACATTTATGTTTTGTTTCGAGGACTCGTTTTTATTATTTATGAAAAGAAATTATTTTAAAAATATTAAATTAAATATATTTTTTATTTATTATAATATAAAAAAATTAATTTTATATTAAAATATTAGATTAATATTTATTTATAATCATATATCTATTCTAATTAAAAAAAAAAATTTCCAAACTAAAACCACAAATAAATACAAAAGAAAATTAATCATGTATTCCTTTTAGATTTAATTTTTGGTTCAATAATAATAAAAATTTAACTTGAAGTAGGATTTCCCACATGTAAGTATTTATTTGATATTATATTTTGAATAAAAAATTAATTTAATTATTTTGGATGAAAAAAAAAAAAAAAATATATATATATATACTACGAACAATGCAAAAGCAAATTCATACTTAAAAAAAAAAAAACCTAATGCTCTCAATAGAAAAAAAATAAGAATAATAGTTTCGTTCAGACAACATAATCGGATGAAATGATTAGTGGTGTGTGATATGAAGAATTGTGTTAAAAATATAAAATATATTTATTTGAAATTCAATACATGATATTTTGACTTTTTATAATGAATATTTTAACTTTTTAATTTTTATATAAAATATTTTTGTACTTTTTATTATTATTTTTGAAAATCGCAATAAAAAAATAGTGTTGATAATACATCACGAATGTATTTATCAGAGTTTTGTTGTATATTATTTTTTAAAAATATTACTAAAATATATAAAATACTTATATGATAATAAAAGTCAATAAAAGTAAATAAAATCCTTAGAGCCGAGCGTAATATTATAATACTCATTCCGTCTCATAACAAAATATCTATTTTTCCATTTTGGTATATCCCATAACAAAGTATTTATTTCATTTCTTAATAATGTACTATCTACCTAATATTACAAATACCCTTACAACTTATAATATATTACACAAATATCATTATCTTTATATCACACAATGCTAATAAGGTCATTTTAGTCATTTCTACTTTATTCTTACTGTATCCCAAAATAATACTAATATTTTTAAAATTTAGTGCAAAGCAAATGGATATATAGTTATGAGACGGAAAGAGTATAATAATTAATATATTCCCTCCGTCCACAAACTAATGTCCTACTTTCCTATTTGGGACGTACAACAACTATTGTCCTATTTCTTTTTTTTAAACACAAATTTTATATTTTTACCCTTCATTCATTTATTACTTTTAATTTCTACCGTACAATTAAGAGCAAATTTGTAAATTCATAACAAAAAGATAATTACCTAAAAAATCGTACATATATATTTTAAGAAAATAAAAATTGGATCGAGGGAGTATATTTTATGACGAGATCAATTGTAATATATAATAATTATATGTATATATATATATATTTATATATAGGGCGCCGAGTGCATCAAGAGTGAGGGCAAAAATGTTGTACGCAACGTCAAAGGATGGGCTGAGAAGAGCTTTGGATGGAATCCATTACGAGGTTCAGGCAACTGACCCTACTGAGATGGGCTTCGACGTTATTAAGGATAGGGTTAATAAATAATAATAATAATTATTATTATTATTAAATCACCATTAATTAATCATCTAATTAATTACTTTTTCATTTTAATTTCTCCTTTATATGTAATACTATTATATTCCTATGTAAGTGTACGTGTGTGTGTGTGGTTTTGTCTTTGTCAGTGACGTTTAACAACTAATTAAAAGCACCTTTTATATGTTCTTTCTTTGTAATAAAATTAGCATTTTTTTTATTTATTTATTTATTTTTTTTTATGATATGAAAATTCGCAGTCACTATTTTTTTTTTTAGGTATACATATTTTGTTCTATGTGATCCGTAAAAAATACAATTTCCGTTATAATACAATAGTCTTTGTTTACCATTTTTGTCCGTTTCAAAATAATAATACAATTGCCACTACTTTTTCATTTTTATTACACAATTGCCATTACTTTTTACACTAATACACTCACAAGGACAAAAAAGTTTTTTATCCATATTTTTTACCAACTACTAATGTAATATCAATATTTTTAAATCCCATATCCAATTCAATTAAGATTATATTTATGAGACTAAAGAAGTATAAAAATATCTTAACAGTGGACGAAGAAAATATTGTTTTTTCTATCTAAATATCATATCATTATCAAATCAATATTTAAATGCAAATACAAATCAATTAACCAAACACACCTTTACTTCTTTCTTTTTTCTTTTTCTTTTTTCTATCTAAAAAATACATAATATGATTGTTTATGAAAATACAATCACCAATAATAACAAAGTATTTTATGTGACATTTAAAAAATAGCAATTGCATATCCCACATACTAAGAATTTTGTTCATTTAAAAAATTTCTTGTATTGATACCATTTTTAATATATTGTATATTTTCTATTTTTTTACAAAATATAAATATTCAACATAAAATTTTATATTTTATATTATTGACATATTTTTTTATATTTCACATAAAAAAATATCTTAAATTAAAACACTAAATAAACAAACAACATTTGAAATCTAAGTTCATTTATAATATTGAAATAAAAAAACTAATAAAAAATGTATTTATTTTGTGAAATTACTTTAATGAATATTTTTTAATATGAAATATAAAACGTTATATAGATAATATAAAATTAATAAATATGTACAATATATTATTTTTTTAAAAAAAATTAGTATATAATCTTTTAACAAAAAAACACACCTATCACCTTTAAGATGTAAATTCATTTATAATATTGCCTCCGGCTATTTACAAAGTTTATATATTTTTTTTACGTTAATATTAATTATTATATTAAAATATAATAAAAATTAAAAAATAATAAAAATACTGTTATTAATATTTTTATAATACAAATAAAATAATATTGTATAAAAACTATACAAATATAATAATATTTTAGTACTACTAAATATAATCACGCAAAATATAAATATAAGCTTATTAAATAGACAAAGAAAATACTCTATCCGTCTCATTTTAAAGTATTTTTTTTTATCATTTTCGTTCGTCCCATTTTAAAGTATTCATTTAATTTTTTTAATGAAAGTAATCATACATTTAACTTTTATTAAAATTACATATATACCCACTACACATACACTTATATTTTATATGGCAAAAATATCAAATCTTCTTACACACTTTCTCTAACTAATAAAATATTATTATTTTTTATTTTACTATAAAATTACAGACCCATTTTAAAACAAAGGAGGAATTATTAAAATTAAAATACGTAGTATTATTGAAAAGTAATGACCCGGCCCGGCCCGCCCAAAAGTAAGTAGCTGTAAAGTTGGGCCAGCAAAATGAAACACTTGGTGCATGAAGTGGGCCCACTAATTGATTGGCTTGCAAAGTGGCACTACTCTACTACAATATTTTTATAAATATCTCCAACCAGCACAATTCTCGAACACAATAATAAATAAATAACATTTTGTTATGTAATATACAAAATATAAATATAATAATACAATATCTATATATATATAATAATATGTGTTCCTTATTAAAGCGTGAGTAATGTAATTACACTTCTTAGTCTATAATTGCAGTATAAATAGCACATTGTACTTGAAAGGAGGGGATAAGGAAAAAAATCGCCAAAAATTATCTATCTTTTTTTCTTTTCTCTCTCAATTTCCTTGCGCGCTCTGTCCGTTGTTGCAGAAGGCGTGACAATTTGGTATCAAAGCAGGTATTCTTCGCTGCTCTTTTGATGCTCCTATGATGACACGATCTCAATCACATCGGTTGGTTACGTTGGAACAGCAAGTGACAGAAGTTATGGACGGGCAAACTGCTATAGTCCAAGGCGAAATTCAAATAGAAGTTAGGCTTGAATCTAAGATAAATGCGAAGCTGAAGAGTCCAGGAGATATGCTGAAGACTCAATTTGTGAATTTCATGAAGGAACAACAAGCTGGACCTTCAACCAGAGGTAAGGAACCTTTGGATCCTTCTTCTGCACATATAGCTTTTGACTCTGGTGCTAAGCCTAGAGAAGGAAGGGAAATATTGTCTCCTATTCCTATGACTAGGTTGAACGAGTTGAACCATGCTTTACACAATAATAAATTGCGATTGGAGTTTCCAAAATTTAATGAAGATAATCCTAGGCTCTGGCTTAGAAAATGCCCTAGGTATTTTGCTTATAATCCAGTGTCCGATTATGATAAACACAGCCTCGTTGCTATGAATTTAGAAGGAGCAGTTGATAGTTGGTTTGTGGACTATATTGAGGAAAACATTGATTTGTCATGGCCTGAATTCTCTGGATTAGTATTGGAAAGGTTTCTAAATCCGGCTGGAGGGAGTTTAGTTGCTCAGTTTAATAAATTGAGGCAAAATACCACTGTGCAGAATTATATTCAAGAGTTTGAAGAAATGAGAGCCTTACTAAAAGAGGATAATAAAGCTTTGAAAGAAAAATATATTATGGAAAGTTTTATTGGTGGATTGAAGGAAGAGATTTGGAAGTTTGTGACTATGCAGAAACCTATTACTTTGAGAAATGCTATTCGGTTGGCCATCCAAAGTGAGAATATAGTCAATCTCCTCACTAAGGGGCAGAGAGGATTGAACAGAAACGGCAACCCTTAACCAATAGTGCCAATAACTAAGAATGGTTATGATGTTGCTAAGCCAAAGTTACCTCCTATTAGGAGGTTGTCTCCTGAAGAAATGAAAGCTAGAAGAGAGAAGAATTTGTGCTTCAATTGTGATGAGGTGTTCCATATAGGACACAAGTGCGGAAGAGTATACTTGATCATAGGAGAAGAAAGTGGAGAGGCTGACAATGGGACTTTTGAGTTGAGAGAAGGCCAGCAAGGGTTGGAGGAACCCCAAATCTCTTTAAATGCTGTGGCTGGTCAAATTCCTTCCAATACCATTAAGTTGTTAGGAAAGTCTAATAACTGTGAGTTAGTCATCTTGTTGGACTCAGGCAGCACTCACAATTTTTTGGACCAAAAAACAACTTTAAAGTTGAGGTGTACAGTGGATTTTACTGATCCTTGGTTAATAACCATTGCAGATGGGAATAAAGTTGAATGCAAATCTAAATGCCCTATGTTTGCTTGGGAAATGGGGGGTAAGAAGTTTAGTGCCCCTGTGAGATTGTTGAAGTTAGGGGGTTGCGATATGGTTATTGGGGTAGACTTGCTAAGTCAATTTGGAAAGGTGACTTTGGATTTTTCGGAGCACACTATTCAATTTTGCTTTAAAGGGAAAATGATTAAACTTTAAAGAATTCAGCCTGAGATTGCATTAAGTATGTTAACTGTGACTCAATTTAGTAAAGAGTTGGAAAGGGAAGGCACTGGGGGCTTCTTATGCATTATATCTTGACAAACAAAAGAGGAGACATCTGTTTGTCATCCAGAAATTGAGTCATTACTTCAGGAGTTTCAGCACCTGTTCGAAGTTCCCACTAGTTTACCCCCTAAGAGAAACATGAATCATAGAATCCCCACCAAGCCCAATATAGGACCTATTAAGCAGCATGCTTATAGGTATCCTATGCTTCAAAGAAGAGAAATTGAGAAATTGGTGAATGAGATGTTGCAAACAAGGATTATTAGACCTAGTAGCAGCCCATATTCCTCACTTGTGCTACTAGTTAAAAAGAAGGATGGCTCATGGAGGTTTTGTATTGATTACCGAAAGCTCAATGCAGCTACAATAAAAGATAGCTTTCCTATCCCCTTGGTGGAGGATTTGTTGGATGAGCTAGGGGGAGCAACTATCTTTTCAAAAGTATATTTAAGGGCTGGCTATCATCAAATTAGAATGCACGAGGAGGATATACTTAAGACAACATTTGTAACTTCCTTGGGACTGTATAAGTTCATTGTGATGCCATTTGGCCTCACAAATACACCAGCCACCTTTCAAGCAGTAATGTATCAGATTTTTAAGTCTTATTTGAGAGATTTCATCCTGATTTTCTTTGATGACATACTCATTTACAGCTTAAAGATGGCTGAACATTTGAAACACTTAAGAGAGGTGTTTAATATTCTGTCCCAGCAAACTTTGTTTGCCAAAAAATTGAAGTGCAGCTTTGGCAATGTGGAGGTTTAGTACTTGGGGCACGTAATAGGAGGTGGGAGAGTACAGATGGATAAATCCAAGATCCAAGCAATGTTAGATTGGCCAACTTCATCTAATGTTAAGGCATTAAGAGGATTCTTGGGCCTCACTGGATACTACAAGAAGTTTATTCAACATTATGGAGTGATTGCTAGGGCCTTAACCGATCTAACAAGAAAGGGCAAGTTTGTGTGGTCTTCAGAGGCTGAAGCTGCCTTCCAGCGTCTTAAAAATACAATGGTTACAGCTCCAGTTTTAGCCTTACCTGATTTCACCAAACCTTTTGTTGTGGAGACCGATGCATCTTACAAGGGTTTGGGGGTTGTTCTTATGCAAGACCAGCATCATTTGGCTTTCTTAAGAAAAGCCTTAGGTCCTAAGAATTTGGGGTTATCAATATATGAGAAGGAATTCTTGGCCATCACATTGGCTGTGGAGAAGTGGAGG